ATTTCATTTAGTTCTTTTTTCTGGAGCTTTGTCCTGTTCTTTCATTTGGGGCATGTTTCTTTGTCTCCTCATTTTGGCTGCCTCCCTGTGTTTGTTTCTATGTGCTAGGTACATCTGTGTCTCCAAGAATGGGCTTATTCAGTAGGTGTCCTGTGGTGCCCCGTGGTGTAGTCTCCCTGGTCACCTGAGCCAGGTACTCCAGGGGTGCCCCTTGTGTGGGTTGTGTGTGCCATCCTGTTGTAGTTGAACCTTGATTGCAGTTGGCATGTCATTGGGCAGTCTTGTCCTTCAGGCTGACTGGCTGTGAGGGCCGGCTGTTACTACAGGAGACAAAGTGTTGTGCGGAAGCTGACCTAACGGAATGGGAATTGAGTTAGTGGGGCTCTGGTGCCAGTTCAGTCCATGCTTTGGGTGTGTTTTTGTGGAGCTGGTTGGGGGTGCTCTGGTGTGGTCTGAATCCAGCCCCCAGATGTATTTGTCCTGGTACCTCTTAGGAGAGACTGTGATGTAGGCCAAGATCAGCTGCCATTTGTGCCCAGCTTGAGGCCACCTGGTAGGAGCTNTACAGAACCATAGGATGATAAATCTGTTGTTTTAAGCCATTAAATTTGTCATAATTTGTTACAGCAGTGTTAATAAGCAGGATTTGTGTAAGAGATTAGAGGTCTGGAATGGAGTGTTGAGGGAAAAGCTGGGATCAGACTGAGTAGTGCTTTGAAGGCTAGGGTAAGGATTGTGACGTTTACACCTAAAAACAACAGGTTGAGGTGGGACAGTGGTATACATCAAGCAGAGTTTTAGGAAGAACTACCTGGCAATGCTGTTTTGCAGACTCTTTGAGGTAAAGAAAGTATGGGGTTAGAGGAATCAATTAAACCTCTACCAGAAAGTAGGTAGAAAACTGGTGGTGGCAGGTGGTGAATATGGGGATGGGAAGGGACAGATAGATATAAACATTATTTTGAAGGAACTGGCTACAGGTTTGATGATTCTATGTTGGGGAGTTGGTTAATGTGTGGAATTAATGTATGGGAGTTAGTAAATGTCTGTGTCTCCTCAAAATTCAGGTTGAAATCTTATGCATCAGTGTGATGGTATTTGCAGGTGGGGCCTGTGGGAGGTAATTAGAATTAGATGAGGGCAGAGCTCTTACCAATGGGACTAGTGCCCTTATAAGAGTCCCAAGAAAGCTTGCTTCTCTTTGTTTCCCACCAAGGGAGGCTCCAAGGAGCAGAGAGCCATCTTCAAGCCAGGAAGGGAACCCTCACCAGACGTCTTGAGATTGGACTTCCCAGCCTCTAGAACTGTGAGAAATAAATGTGGTGTTTAAGCCACCTAATCTATGGTAATTGGTTATAGCAGCCCAAACTGACTAAGAAGGACAAGAATGTCTTAATTTTAGAACTGATTAAAGAATGTTGAAACCCAGGGGAGTGGGGAGCTGGTTTCAGGGAGACAAATGAGTTGTTTTCAAACATGTTGATTTTTATGAGAACAGTAACTCTGTCAGGAATTGGGAATAAGGGCTGGCACTCAGAAGAGAGGACAGGTAGAGATAGGGATCCAATGTTATCCTGTTATCCTGCTGGTAGTGGTAGCTGTGCCATCAGTATGAGAGTAGATATGGTCTCTGGGGATTGGAGGGAGCAGAGGGTTGTATTTGTAGGTGGAGGTCAAGGGACAAAAGAAGGTGATTTGTTTACTAAGCCCCTCCCA